TGTACGTATTTTGGAAATACATCATCTCTTTAAATCCAAAAGCGGAAATTTCTATAAAAAGCGGAAGAGGTGGCAGCCCTGCTGGTAAAATTAATTTAGCATTTAGATTATTTCAGCTAACTAAAATAAATCAATATTTTATTTTGAATTACTAAATTTAACACGAGATTAATATCGATTAAATGTTTATCTATCTTATTATTTCATATTTAGCATATCAATTAAATAAAGAACAAGTAATAATATCTTTTGTTGAAATCTGTCTACCAGCTTCTTCCATTTTTGAAATAGATTATGACAAGTCTTCTTATTCCGTTTTTAATCTACATTCTAATGAATATCAATCAGAGTAAATAAACTATGACATGGTGAATTCTTGTAATCTATTTAAAAAAAATTCTTATCATTCAATTTCGAACAAAACTATGAGAATTATCATAAATTCCTTTACACAAGAATACAGAAAAATCTTTAGATAAATGATGCACTAGACATAATTAAAAATTCTTTAAAATCTCAAGAAAATCGGTATATCTACACGACAATCTATAACTAGTTTTCAACACCTTCAACTGAAAAAAACATTAGAAAACTGAAATTAAAATTTTCTATATATTGTTTCGCTTTTTTTTGAAACCCCGTCGGAAACAGTGTTAACATGAGAATTTTTTTAGTCAATAATAAATTATTTTTTGATCAAGTGATTCCAGTGTATAAAAAGCGAAACAGATTTAATAATTTTCTATTAGAAAAAAAAAAGAACAATCTCAAATGTTATTTTGATTTCATTGTCTAAGAATTTTAATATGTTCTATGCCACGCTGAACTAATGATAAATTCTCTATTTGAGATTATAATAAAAGCGATGATAAATTAAAACAAACATTTTAAAATCAAACTCAAGTATATTTAAATAAATCTATTCATAAAAAATTCTCATCAAAATCTTTTATATAGAAATTAATAATCTCATCTAGAAAACCTGTTTTCAAATAAAGATCAATACGAAAATTATCAAAATTTATTTAAATCAACTCAAATCTCATCGTTTAATGAAGATAAATATGAAATAGATTATTTAAGGCCAAGTATGAATTTTTATATGTTATTAATTATCTTCTTATTTCTTATTGTTTAGTCAACATGGAAAAAACGAATAGCTAAAAGTTTAAATACAATGTCTAGTGAAGTTAATTTATCACTTGCATGACAAATTGATTTTAATTTATAAATAAAATTTGTTTTAGTTTTTATTTAAATAGAGAAATGAAATCTGTAAGAAGACATTGGAATGAACTTGGTCATGTTTGTGGAGGTTTTATTTTTTTTATTTAATTTGTTTTTTAAATAAACTTTCTTTTTATTTAATTATTAAATTCAGTTGAGGTTTAATCAAAATTCCAATAGTAACAAAAAGTTTTACATAAATTGTATATTTTATTTAAGTATATTGATGTCATTGAGTTATTATTAGTATGATCATAATAATAATAAAATATCCTCTAACTAACTGCTCCTGCATACAGAAAATAGGTCTTGTTAGATGATATTCTGCTGCTTCTTAGTGTTGTATTTCAACAATACTCACAGAATTGTTTTAATAGTTTCTTCTTGAAACTCTTACTTATAAATATAAACCAATAGAATAACCTATGGTACGAAAGTCTTGGTACACAATGTTTGCTCAGTTTTCTCCACTTTATAGAGACAATGAAAAGTAGTGTGTTAGCATCAGAATTTGATGTTCCTTCTAAATATATGTTCAGAATTGTTTTCTAACTTAAGGCGACGTAACTAAGATCAAATACTTGAATAGACTAAAAAAAAAGGACATCTGTACAGAATTTTATCATATAGTCTGTTTTTGTACTTTGATCAAAACCGTTTCAATTCAGACGATAGGAAACATTTTTATCTACCAGTTTATAGAGCAAAGTTCTCTCTAGAAAATGTTCAGTTTACTCTACTTTTTAATATGACAAAAATGACTCAAAATCTCCTGCATTTTCTAAAAAAACATTCCAAATAAAAACAATTTTTGACAAAATTCCATCTTACGCAGAGAGTAGTTCTGCAAAACCCTTCAAACTTTGCTTTTTTAGATGTAGCTGATTGTAACCTATGACTTTGAAAAAAATTAAATAGTTTACAATAATTTAGAGTTAAAAGTGTTCCGAAAAATCACCCAAAGAACTTCTGAGTGACAAGGGCTTTAAAATTTTTTTTGTTATAAACATTAGTTTTAGCTTATGCAGTTATTGATTTTGTACAGATGTCTTTTTTGGGTTTATTCAAGTATTTGCTCTTAGTTAATTTGCCTTAAGTTAGAAAATAATTCTGAACATATATTTAGAAGGAACATCAAATTCTGATGCTAACATACTACTTTTCATTCTCTCTAGTCACGTCTAAAGTGGAGAAAACTGAGCAAACATTTTGTACGAAGACTTTCGCACCATAGATTAAAAAGAATAATTTGTCAATGGAAACATATGATACAACTCGATATCTGATCATAAACAATTCATATTTTTCATTCTTATTTATTTTGTTATGGATATGAAAATCTTTATATTATTTATTTTTATTTGCACACTATCAACATAGGATTGAATTTACAATGAAGAAAAATACTGATAAATATCTTCTAAAAAACGTGCTGGTTTTTCAAAAATTAATCTTTTAACTTTTGAACAATTGCGCCGTGTTCCATCTCTTGTAAATTTCATTGTTACAGCTGTCAAATGTCTATATTTGACGTTTAACTCAGTTAGATGAGGTAGATGTGTCTGTGTTTCTAATAGAAATTGCAAAACATAATCCATATGCGCACACATGAAGTCAAGTGATATAAGATGAGGATATTCGATAATTGAATATGCTGCATAGTTATCACATATAAATTTATCACGATTCGATGACTGGTACATCCGATTTTGTATAGATAAACACTTCAATATTGGAAAATCTTGACTAATTCGCATGAAGAATTCATGTTTCATTGGAGTGATATCGTAAGCAACCAAGTGAGTTACATTGTCAAATACAATATTCGGAAATTTATTGCATATCCTTCGTAGATGAGTAAATGCGAATGGAAGCGAATAAATATGACACATATTATCAAACATATAGAAAGATTCTGTAATATAAGCCATTTGTCCATATTTTGTATTTATAAATGGTTTTTGCATATCATCATTAGATTTAAGATGAATTAAATCACAAACGACTGTTTCCGTACTAATATAAAATATGAATGTATGAAGTTGAGGCATATAAAGAAGAATTTCATCATTAAGATGTGTGTCATTGACGAATGAATAATCGTTACGGACACAAAGATATAAAGTTAATCTTTCGAGATTTGTAATACGACGAAGAAGTGGGAAAACCGAACGCTCATAATGACAAGTAACATGATAACTTGTTAATGAGAAACATTTCAAATTCTGTAGCACATCCTATAAAATACAAAAATATTTCAGAAATACATATTTATTCGTTTAGTTAAGATAAAAAGTTTATATTCCTCTATTTCACTATTCTACTAATAATAACACAGAGCATTAACATAAAAATTCATCTAATTTCATTGTCGATATTATTCTTCAACAATTTACCACATTGTGAGGAATCCATGGGTAGTAGAATATATATCCAACTTGAACTATAAATGTGGTTAGTTGTTTGAGACGACCATCAAGCAAAAATAAACAATCACTGAATTCTAACACATTAATATTTAATACAGTAAGAATCGAAGAGAAATAAGTGGTTGGAGGCAGTCTTAGGAGTGACAATGGTGGATACTCATTTATAGATGATGCAACTACTGTTAAATGCTTTAGATGTTGAAAGAGAACCATGATATGTGCATACACATCTCTAGTATAAGTATCCAACGATGTTTTAGTGGAATATTCATCATTATTATGAAGAACAAGTTCGGTTATTTGATATTTAAAAAAATGTCGAAAGGCTGAGTTATCTAAATGAAAAAAAAAAACAATGTAATGAAATATCTTTGCATATTGATCTTTTAAACACTAAGAGAATGTTATGTGCCCACCTGTAAAATGACGGTAAACTATTTGTCCAAAATTGAAGAGTTCTAGAGAAGTCAGATTTGAATAATTACCAACAAGAAGAATATGTTCCATAGATGTTGTTTCGAGAATCAGTTTTTTGATAGACTGATTAATTCGAGGTAATATAGAATTACAAAATCGATCAAATTTCACATCAGTAATTGATGATATTCTTGTAAAATTGAGACTGCTAGTAAATACATCATCTTCTACTAAAATATCAATTCGTTTATTATTAATTCCAAATAATGAATAGAGAACATCAATATTGTCGAGTTTCTTCATAATGATAAGCAATATTTCATTGGGTAGATCAAGAAGATGAATATCTGACTGATTCATGTTTTATTATAATTTTCATCCATCTAAACATATATATATATATATGTTCGTTTTTTTCTTCTGACTTTTTCCGTCAACAAAGTATACAATGTATGACCGCGATGTAAAAAAAATGTACTACCGATCAATGTATCGTCCAATATTATTATCAATAAATGATGTTATTTTTTCAACATTTATTTATTTTTCTCTAAACAAAGAAAAGCTGACTCAATTATAATCATGTAATACTTTATGAAAAAAAATATCTAGTCGTTTTGTGTGCTTATAGAAATACATTAATGAAAAAGATTTGTTAAAATAAACCATGGATTATCTTTTGCTACAAAAACGTTTCTCACAAAAAAAAAATAATATCAATTTTACAATAATTCTTATACTGCGATTACAATTGTGTATCTTGAGGGTGTGTGAGTGTGCGTGATTCTCGTTGCCTGATCCACCAGCACCCACACCCACTGCCACAGCCACAGCCACAGTCACACCCACACCCACACATCCTCAAGATAGCCACACCCACACACCCACACCCACCCATATTAAGCTTTTCCAGTTTCCTTCTCGCTACTGAAATCTTTTTTGGATAGAGTTATTCACAAAACACTCAGAAGAAATGTACAGAAGCAGAATCATTCGTCAAGCGTCAATATTGTTGAAAACAGAAAAAAAACGAAACTGCAGAAAAACAGCAAATTTTCGTTTCATTCCTACATAAATATGTATATTTGTACTTTTCTTAACCAATCCTTATTCGATACTGCTGAAACTTTCAGAGTATGTTAAGTAATCAAAGATCTATCTGTGATACAAATATGAGATTAAGTGGCAATCGTGTGAGGAATTTATGGAAAAAAAAGGTGGGCCGTTTATTTTGACCAGGGGAATATATCGATAGCGGCTTTGAAACGTACCGATTAAGACACTATTGAGCTGTTCCTGATCTTTGTAGTAACAATGTGTAATCAAAAGTAAGATGGTCAATGATCAGGTTTTACTCATATTCTTCGCATTCTTGTACATTCCAAATGTCAACGTTCAATGTTGCGCATGTGATCTCTCACGAGTATAATTAATTATTTTTTTTTTATTACAGGTTTCTTGAAGAAGAACGGTTAATATGATTAGAATTCGGACATCGAGCTCTACAAATTGGTATAAACTCGATTCAAAATGAGTGTGGGTGGAAACTCAATTTGCACCCCAGGACCCGCGGAAGCGGGGGGGGGGGGGGGGGGGGGGGGTTGGGGGAGAGTGTACACCCCCGTAAAAACTGAAAATAGTGCGTTTTTAGGGATGTATACCCCCCTAAAAACTGAAATTTAGATCATGAAAAGTGACAATTTCCTTTTATTCTATGTCTATGATCATTGAGACATAAGAAGCGAAAAGAACGAGCAAAATATCTATTTTTTTCGTGTACTTACATTAATCAGTACATACAATACAACACACTAATTGAATGTTATTCTGAGCATATGTGTTTAATTAGTCTGAAACAACAATTACATTTTGTAATTTTCTATGCCTAGCCTTGTTCAATATTGACTCTATAAATATGATCCATAACATTTTAAAGAAATTTATATTTGTGAAAAAATGTCTCAGAAAAGAAAACAGTTTGACAATGATTTTCTATATAACTGGTTGAACAAGAAGAAAAATTTATCAAATTTGAGTGAAAATGAAGTTTTGTGCAACAATAATGCTAGTCAATCTGAATTGTCGATCACCACAGAAGAAGCATCTGCTACGGTGATGCCTCAGATAACAGCCATTACCAATATTTCAATGACGGCTTTCGAAGATATTTCAGGTAAAATTACACGTAAAATTTATTGCAAAAGAAGACATCGTTTTTTCAAACTTAGCAACAACGTCATCAAGAAATGAAGCATCATATAACCTAGTGGAACAAGATTTAAATGCCTTTCAAGAAACATATTCTATAAATAATGTTGTCGTAGACTTACGTGAATTTCAATCTCTTCTTTCAAAAATTGAAGATTTGATTAAACAAACACATATACCAGATTTTCCAGAAGAAGCATTTGTTATTGAAACACATTCATTATGTTTATCATTGAAGAATTTATCAACAGCAGTGGAATATAATTGTTTCAAGTTGATGTCAAACATTAAATCAAATCGAGGTAATGTAATTAACAAAGAGAAGGCTCAGTTTATCAGTAGAGACCCATATGACAATAAAAAATATAACGATGATGAATTGCGTTATCTTGTTACTTATGGTCCTAATCATGAAATCCTTTCATCATATCCTCAAAATCTTGACTTGAAAAGAAAGAAAAAGCAATCTTCATTCAATTCTAGCTGGTATAATGACTTTCCTTATTTGGAATATAGTATTAAAAATGATTCTGTTTTCTGTTTTTGTTGTCGATTATTTGGTGTTGGTCCTGGTGGCGAACATGCTCAAGATGCGTGGTCATCTAAAGGTGTATCATCTTGGTCAAAGATGACAGGTATTAGAGGGAAAACACAGGAATACTTTTACGAGAGTTTTTTTCTTCCATTGCAGGTTCAAATGGAAAATTGGTCAAACACTTTAAATCTACAGCACATGTCAGCGCGGAAAACCGATTATTAAATTTTTCTCAAAAAAAAACGAATGTTGATTTAACGATAGATGCTCGTCGAAGAGAGGCTGATCAAAAACGTGAACAACTATTGAAATTGAATGAAAAAATTATCATTTCGTTAATTGATGTTGCCAGATTTCTTAGCCGGCAATCATTATCATTCCAAGGAGACGAGAATTCCGAAGGTATTGTGGTAGAAAAGTTGTGGGAGCACATGTTCCTGGAAAAGATTGTTCTGTTTTAGGCAACTTTGTTGCCATTATTGACCTCCTTCGTCGTCGTGATCCAGTACTCGATCAGTGGTTCAAAGACGCAAGTTTACGACCATATCGTGTAAGACGAATAATATGTATTTCTTTCCATTCAAGTTAAAATTTGTGATTATAGGTCAATTATCTGCATCATGATTCACAAAATGAATTTATTGACTTATTAGGTAATGCAGTTCCTAAATCAATTATAGAAGATATTAATGAAGCTGAATTTATTTCTATTACAACTGATTCTACTACTGATATCTCACACAAAGAAATCTATACAATTATTATCAGATTTTCTAAAAATTTTATTGTACAGGAACGCATTATATCTCTTACAGAATTAAATTCTAAGGTAGGTGAAGATATATGTAAGTATTTACTAGATGAATTAAAGAAGTGTGGTATTTCAACTGACAAAATAATTGCTCAATCTTACGATAATGCTCCTAATATGTCGGACAAGAATATAGGAGTACAGGCTTGTTTAAGCCAGCATTTAGGTCGCAAAATTACATTTATTCCATGTGGAGTTCATTCAACGAATTTGGTTATCAAGCATGGAAGTAATATTAGTATTGAATATGTAAATTGTTTTGGTATTTTACAAGAATTATATAATTTCTTCAATATCAGTGCCAAAAGACATTCATTATTATGTGAAAGTTTAAGTAAAACAGAATTTGGTAAGTTTTTGCCGCTTCTGATTATATATTAACTTGATGGCATCTTTATATTTAGGACTATTGGTCAAAGATTTGTCCAGAACACGCTGGTCTGACCGATATGAAGCTATTCGAGCTGTTTTTACTTCATATCAACAAATCATTAATACTCTTCAGAAAATATCTGAAACAGATTCTGAAAAAACTACAAAACAAACAGCAGAAAATCTATTGAATAAACTATGTTCTTTTTCATTTTATATTGTATTGATATTTTTGAAAAATTTAATGGCAATGACAAATGCTTTAGTTGTGCATTTACAAAAGATTGAGCTGGACGTATTGACGGCTATTGATACTATTCAAGATACGATCAATGTTTTGGAAAAAATGTATCAAGAAAATACACATCTTGAATCTATGGTTGAAGTACGCAACAAAAGATATTCTATTTCTGATACACTTTTAACAAAATTTGCATTTTAGGTAGCTCGTAAAGATCTTGAAAAATTAAATATTCGAGTTGATTTGAATAAAGATTTATTACGTCTTCAACGTCGTAAGAAAGATTTAAAATCATTGTAAGTAAATTACAAATATTTTCTTTAATTTTTCAATAATAACTTGTGTTCTATAGAGAACAATATTATTGTATAATCTTTCGAAAAATTATCGAATCTATCAATGATGAACTCAAAGAATATTTATCAGTTTTAAATTCGAAAATTAAACATTTTGTTCATTTATCTCCTAAATGCATTCACTTATTCTCGAAAGAGGAAGCGAAACAATTGCAATTGATTGTTCCACGTATTGATGATCATGAACTATTATTTTCAGAATTACAATTATTAAAAATGAAAATTGCTCAATCGAATTCAATGATGAATGTATGGGAGATAATTCGCGCCAGCACTGGTTATCCACGAGCACAGAAGGTATACAATTATTTGTTAACTCTTCCAGTAGCCATCGCAACTAATGAACGATGCTTTCATAAGCTAAAACTTATAAAAACTTACCTTAGATCGGCAATGCATAATGAACGATTATTTCAATTAATGTTATGTGCCATCGAAAAAGATAAACTCGATGGACTTGATTTACATTGTTTGGCGAAACAGTGGACAAAGATGAAGGACAGACGCATCGTAATTCCATCTGATAACTAAATCTATTTATATTACTTTTTCTTTTTTTTTTCTAATCGCCATTTTGTTATCTTTTTGTAATGCACTACAGTATGACAACATTTTTGTTTCTTTGTTGTGTTTTTTGACAAGTGTAATTTATGATTAAATTAGCAATCTATTCAATACTATAAATCTCCTGCGATCTCTTAAAAACATGCAAAATCTGCATAACTCTCGATCCTTATTGTTAGGCTTGCACCCCCCACCCCCCCCAAAGTTCGACCCTTCGCGCGGGGCCTGTTGCACCCTAAGGTAAATGATGATAAAGAAAGGACAAGGTGAGTTCGGAATCAATCGAGATTCATTAATTTATTGAACAAACAAGTGGTAAAACCGAACGCATAATGATGATTAATAAATGATAAATGATAAAAAGAATAATAAGAAAGTAGCGAGGTAAGCGATAGAATGAAATAGTCAGGAGAACTGTGTGCACTGATTAACAAGAAGCGAAAAAATAATGCACAAAACAATTAAGACTGATAAACAATATAAATAATAAAAACATAACAAAAATCAATCAATACAAGCACAATAAGAGAAATTCCACAACATATCTTATTTATAAAACCTTGCTATTTCGAGAGAGATTTGGAAAAATGTATTAACTAGCTTGTCCAATGATTGAACAAATCGACTTATGCAATTGTACATGAATGAATATTGAGGAGAATTGCTTCAAATTCGTTTCTAGTGCTCATCATCAAATAGGGAAACTTCACAATGAGATTTCAACAGAAATATGAACAATATTTCAAATGAAAACGCATAAAAAAGACTGGTACAAATATATAATCATAAGGGATAAGATACATGTTGATGTATTCGAATGAGAAGGAACGTATTATAATAAAAATCACATCAAAGTTTGAAGACTAAGTAATGAGTGATCGAAGACAAAAAAGCAATAAAACTAATTGAATATGAGAGTTATAATTCTTTGCAGTCCCTAACAAATGACGATGAAAGTTTTGGAAACTAACTCTGGGGTATGACTTCTACTAACACAGGAGAAAAGCCTGCAACGAAAGAAAACTCACTCAATCACAGGTAAGAGCGTCTCTAGAGTGTCTCGCATACAGAATATTGATTGTATTTTGTTATAATTCATGGCTGCCAATCATCAAAGAATACAAAATGCCTTGTAATTGATTAATTAATATAAACAGAAAATCAATCCCAACACTAATTACATGATATGCAAACTTCTGGGTGAAAAAATGTTCGTCTAAACTTCTACAGGATTTAAAATGTGTAACACGATGAACTGAGTAAGATGGGTTTTTCACAACGAATGAGGGAGGCACACAAGGTGATTTCTCTGTCATCGATGAAAGTTCCTTTTTTTTTATCGATTTCCAGTGCGACATAATGTCTTATAGTATTTCACAAGTAAGTTTTTGAAACGCTGATCGAAAGAGTCTTTGAACTTGTGTTAGTCCATTGACATCTCTTAAAACCTTTTCTGTTGGATTCCATTGGCAAATACATTCACTGATGGATCCTAATGAAATGATTATGAATATTCAAATGCTAACTACTCAAAGGATTTTAATAAAGAAGATAAAAACCTTTTTCAAATATTCCTATAGATCTATATTATTTTTAAATAATATATCTCTGAGATTGATGATTCTGACATCATGAAAGAAGAAGGAAGTTTTTTTCGTAACGTAATTAGCTGTAGAAATGTAGGTTATAGCTTCAAAATCTAATTTTCTCTAGTTGCTAACAATCAGTAGATTTTGAAACTTCTTGACAGAAGACTCTAACCAATACGAAACTTCCACTAATTATGTGATTTTCTAGAGGTCCTCTTGAGCCCTTTTCAGAGAATTTTAAGAGTTTTCATGAGAACCAAGTTTATCATCGTGTTCAACATATCAAATGAGTTTAACCTTTTGGATACCTACAATTCTTGCGTTCGGTAAGAAGGCAGAGAAAAATAAAAAAGATCCCTTTCTCTTGATGTTCTGTCACTCTCAATCAGCTGTGTGTATGTTTTGTATTTTATCATATATGTCGCATGAATTTGTGTGATCGTCTTCATATTGCTTCTCTATAGCGTATAAGAAAAAAAAAGATACAAAGGAAGGGGGCGAGTTTGCACTTAAACAGGTCCTAAATAAAAATCATCTCAGAACACTTTATAAAATTGAATTTCATCTTTCTCTAAGTAAGAATAAAGCATCTCGACCTCGTTCAGGCCATGTTTCGAGACGTCATCTCGACATTTCTACTTAGGATAGAAGCATTATCAACATCGGAATCCCTCTGACAGGTTACCTACGTTAGTTTACCAAATCTGTCTCATATTTTCAGGGTAGATAAAGCTTTCCAAGAACTACAAAATGATTCCGAAATGTAAAGGAAAATATGCTGCGCTCGAAAATTTCCAAGAACCAAACTGCCCAGGTTCTAGAGAAAAACCAATGGACTTGATAGTATGGTACTTGTGATTCTGACTGTGATTCTTGATGTCCTGGCCGCTTTCTTTGCGCAGATAGAGCATTTCATGAGCTGAAAAAAAATAATAAAATATTTCGAAACGATTGGTGGTTGGCTAGAAAATTTTAAGGAACACAATATTGGAAATTTTGCGAGTAATCGACGGTCCGTATAGTGCGGTCAATGATATGTTTAGCAGGTATGATTTATACTTCTCTCTATAGTACTGGTGGAACATATGACGACTGAACTGGTGCTTTTTTGTACAGATGTCGGTATCCACGGACGGAGAGACATTTGAAACCAACCGGTGGTACAGAAAAGTGGAAGACATTTTGCAATTAGAGGAAGTCGACTGCTTGCAGTTACGCGAACAACAAAGTAATCACGTACATAAGACTTGTGCGAATTCATTGTATACGAAATGCAATAAAGATTCACGTATCCCATCGCTTCTATATTCTATCATCACTATCTATAAAATGAATCGAAGAGATGCTTCGCTTTAAAAACATCTTCTTTACATCTCTTTCTCTCTCTATGAAACATGTACGCTCCAAATCACTCTCGAAGAAAAATGTTTTCTCTGCATGCATCGTGCAATGCTTGCGGCTCTCTCAAAATCGCCTCGTACCAAATATATTCTCTCTTTTTCTCTCTGATCTCGTATCATATCTCTAATTCTCTATGTACCCAAGATATTTTCCATCATTCTCCGTCGCTATATAATTACCTATACTTCAAACTCTCAATGTATCACATCTTCTCTTATGAATATCCCTAAGTTTACTATTCTTCATCTCAATTCCCAATATCAATCTTCCATTTTTGCATATCAATTATCCTTGATGTATTGCTCGAGCCTTGCTTCGTTCTACACGCTTAACCGTTTGATTCCTAAAACGCCTTCTACCACCTACGCGAATATTCACAACCCTAAATGACCGAAGATCTAAAACCTATTCGCTATACTATTTCGACAATTAGTTTTCTCACAGCGATTCGATAGTGTCGTCCGTTAGTTTTTTCGAGGACAGTAAATTTTCGTTTACATTTTGTAATCATTGTGCACGCTTTGAAAAACCCTATCTGCACAGAAAAAAATATCGATGGTATCAGGAGTAATGTTGAAGATCCTACGGATCATACTCTCCCAACAATGAGTTTTCTTGTAGAACCTGAATGGTGTGATCCTGGCAAATTTTCGAACGTAGCATATTTTCTTTCACATTTTGAATCATTTTATAGCTCTTGGAAAGCTCTATCTACCCACAATATATGAGACAGATTTGATAAACTAACGTAGTTAACCTGTCAGAGGGATTCCGATGTTGATAATGCTTCTATCCTAAGTGGAAATATCGAGATGACGTCTCGAAACATGCCTTGAACGAGGTCGAGATGCTTTATTCTTACTTAGAGAAAGATGAAATTCAATTTTATAAAGTGTTCTGAGATGATTTTTATTTAGGGCTGTTTTACCTGCAACCCCCCTCCTTTAGTGAGAGAGAGGCTTTCATGGAATGGAAAAAACACTGGTTGTTACTCTCCTCTAAGTTAGAAGAAAACGATTGGCAATCGTCACAATGCAAATGCATGATCCTCTAACCATTTTCTCTGCTTTAAACATATGTTGAACGATATGACAGAACGACAAAATTTTCTTTTGTTCTGTTTGTCTTCAGCCTGAAGACAGCGGTATTCATGAGGTTAAAACCAGCTTCCTAATATACCAAATATTTCTGATATGTCGAACTCGAATATGCATTTTTATAATTCACTGGATGATGAGGTGATTTGATCGAAACCGATGTAAAACTCTACAACGTAATTATATCAAAACTTGTGGTAGCTTTACAGATGCAAAACAAGTATTTTCTACCTGTTGAACACGATGCTAAAGTTGCTTTCGATTGAAACCTTTAAGACTCAAAAAGAAATTTTGAGAGGGAGCTCTCAACAAATCCAAGCAGTTACTTTTGATGTTAGAAATCCACTGTGCCCTGAAGTATTAAAAATAATATATGTAGTCCAACTGTCAACTTTGCTTTGAGTCTCCAATTGGAATATGCTGCAATTCTACGTCTTGCGGTGGCCGAAGTAAACAGCACTTTTAAGCCGTAATTCTTGTTTCCTTAGTTGATTTTTGTAACTAACACCTTTCTAGTTCACGTTCCTGCACATTTAGTTTTTTATGACTGTTGTCTCTCTCCTTTTTTATAATCTCAGAATCATCAATCAATAAAATATGGCTTTGGACGAGAAATTGATGTAAAGAAGAATAATTTTTCTTCTATATTAGAAGCTTCTACATATTAAATGTACTGATGTTTGTAATCACTGCACCATACTCTATCGATCAATATAGCATACGATGCAAAAGTAGTGGCACAAAATGTTGACCCGTATTTTTCTTCTTTAGGCAAATGGTGTACGAAAAATTTTTTCTACCAAAAGATAGAGCTTTCCCTCCTCTTTTGAATCATATATAATTTATATTTTCACCATGTATATAAATGAAATACCGTAACAAAAAAGAAGGGCACCCTTAAAAACATTCCGCACTTTTTTATAAAAAGGTAACAGAAAATGTCAATCGTTATATCTCTTCGATAAATACGTACTGGAAAGAAACTTTTATTAGCAATCGATAGGAAATTTTCTCTTCTTTCAAACAGTATGTACTTAAGTTTTGGTATACATTCTTAAATGAAATGAGAAAAGAAAGAAAGTGCGAGCCTTGCGCAACTAATTTACAATTTTCGTATGAACTGGTCAAAAATATCTTCGCAGATAACGATAATTCGATTTCTTTTATACTCACGAAAAAGCTTTTATAAGACAGCATGTATTTACACTTTTAAGAACTTATTAAGACCATCTAATGGGTATCAGTAAATTATGATCAACTACCATCTAGAAGATGTTATTGGTGAGTGCATAAAAATACTGCAATTTTTTTACGCAAAGCTCTCACTTTCTTTCTTGTCTCATTTCATTTAAGAATATATACCAAAAAATAAAGTACATCCTGTTTGAAAGAGGAGAAAATTTCCTGTCGATTACTAATAAAAGTTTCTTTCGAGTTCGTCTTTATTGATGAGATATAACGATTGACATTTTCTGCTACTTTTTTATAAAAAAGTGCGAAATGTTTATAGGGATCTCCTTCTTTTTTCTTATGGTATTTCGTTTGTAAACATGGTAGAAATATAAGTTATATATGATTCGAAAGAGGAGAAAAAGTTCTATCTTTCGGTAAAAAAAGGGGTTTTTACCATTCGCCTATCGAAAGAAAATATGGATCAAAATTTTGTGCCATTACTTTTGCATCGTATATTATGTTTCAATTGAATCAGATATCAAAGCATTTTTAGAGATTCTTGTGATCAATCATAAGTCTCAAAACATTTTTGTTTGCTGCATACAAAAAAATACTTGTGAAATATGAAAAGACTTCATATCTTATGGCAATTGACAATAAAAAAGTTAACTTTGCTCGTAACAGAATATGGTTCTGAAAATGCTACTCGATATTTTCACTTAATGCTTATCCGTCAGTAAGAATGAAACTGTACAAAATTCAAATGAGCAACTACTAATCTCTTTTTCTTTTCTTAATCTTTCCCTTCTTATCCGAAATATCGCGATTTTCGTTCTACTCAAGGACCGAGAAGTCTATCCTGAATTTTTCCAGAATTTCCTGATCGGAAATAGGGAACTCCGATGTACCAACTTTCCCATACATCACTATACTATTCTCCCTGACCACAAGAGCGTCACCCTCAAAAAGCATGCAGACACCCAAGTCAAAAATAGAAACGAAGTCTTTCAATTTCAAAAACACTCTCAGCAGTTTCTCAGACACATCCAAATTTTCGTATACGTCACTCTTCTCGTTCATCCATTTATTCACCGGAACTATATTTTCTACCGATTCTTCTCTTTGCAAAAGCGCCACAATAAGTTTATCTAGAACTTTATACGCCACTTTCCAAACATAACCCTCTCTGTCGCCAAGCAGGCTAATTACTCGTTTAATAACATCACTCGTTGCTGCCTCTTCACCCATCTTACCCAGAGCTCTGCATGCACTCCACCTCACTTTACTATCACTATCCTGAACTGCACCAATTAGTCGGTTAATAACCTCACTTCTTGCCGCCTTTTCACCCATTTTTTCCAGAAATTTACATGCATTCTTCTTAACTCTTGTATCGCTGTCCTCAAGTGCACTGATTAATCCATTAAGGACCTCACTTGTTTCTGCCTTCTCAATCATATTATCCAAAACTTTCTCTGCACCCCACCTGACAGTATCCCTGCTGTCTTCAAGTGCATGAATGAGTTGATAAATGACCTCACTTGTTGCTGTATATTCACCTAACTTGCCGAGAGCTTCACATGCATTCCTCCTGACACTATCCTCACTGTCTTCAACTGCACGAATAAGTCGATTAATGACCGCACTTGTTGCTGCATTTTTACCTATCTTACCCAGAGCTTCACATGCATCCATTCTGACACTATAATCACTGTCGTCAACTGCAAAAATGAGTTGAATAATGACCGCACTTGTTGCTGCCTTTTCACCCATCTTACCCAGAGCTTTACATGCACTACTCCTGACAATCCACTCACTGTTCCGAAGTGCACAAACCAGTTCATTAATTACCTCAGTTGTTGCTGCCTTTTCACCCATGTTACCCAGAGCTTCACATGCTCTACTCCTGCCATCCCACTCACTGTTCCGAAGTGCACGAACGAGTCCATTGATGGACTCAGTTGTTGCTGCCTTCTTACCCATCCTACCCAGAGCTCCACATGCACTGTTCATGACATTACCTTTACTATTCCCAAGTACACAAACGAGTCCATTAATTACCTCACTTCTTGCTGCCCTTTCACCCATGTTACCCAGAGCTTCACATGCACTCATTATGACACTACTATCACTGTTTCCAAGTGCACGAACAAGTCCATTAATTACCTCACTTCTTGCTGCCCTTTCACCCATGTTACCCAGAGCTTCACATGCACGCATTATGACACTACTATCACTGTTTCCAAGTGCACGAACAAGTCCATTAATTACCTCACTTCTTGCTGCCTTTCCACCCATCTTACTCAGAGCTTTACATGCACTCATCATGACACTACTATCACTGTTTTCAAGTGCATGAACGAGCCCATTAATGGCCTCACTTGTTGCTGCATTTTCACCTATTTCAGCCAGAACTTTCCATGCTTCCTCACTCGTACTACTATCACGATGCACAAGTGCAGCAATTAGTCGACTAATGATCTCCCCTGTTACTCTCTTTTTACCCATCTTACCCAGAGCTTTACATGCACTCATCCTGACACTATGATTACTGTCTCCAAGTGCACTAATTAGTTTCTTAATCACATCACATGTTGCTGCCTTTTCACCGATCTTACCCAAAGCTGCACATGCCTCCTCTCTGACAATACTATCACTGTCGCGAAGTGCACTAACTAGTCGGTTAATGACATCACTAGTTGCTGCCTGGTCAACGATATTACCCAGAACTTGAGACGCACTCCGCGTATTAGAGTAATTGCTGTGTCTAAGTTCACTTATTAGTCGATAAATTTCCTCACTTGTTGCTACTTTTTCACCGATCTGATCCACAACTTCGTATACAATAAAATTGAACATACTATCTCTGTGTCTAAGTTCACGAATGAGTCTATTAATCATCTCACTTGTTGCTGCTTTATGAAGCATATTACGCAGAACTATAAACGCACTGAACCCGACATAATGATCACTAGCTCTAAGTGCACTAATTAGTTGATAAATGACCTTACTTGTTGCTGCTTTTTCACTCATTTTACCCACAGCTGTACATGCATTTGAGCGGAGACCTCCATGACTATCCCCAAGTTCACTAATTAGTCGATCAATGATGTCAATTGTTACTATCTCTTCATGCATGTTATCAGGGGCTTCACGTGCACTTGAGCGGAGATCTTCATAACTGTGCTTAAGTTCACTAATTAGTCGATTGATGACCTCACTTGTCGCTGCCTTTTCACCCATCTTAACCAGAGCTTCATATGCACTGAATCCGACGTAATTATTGGGGTCTCCAAGCGCACTGATTAGTCGATCAATGACCTCAGTTGTTGCTGCCTTTTGACCCATGTTACCTAGAGCGTTACATGCAATCGACCTGACACTACTATTACTGTCCCCAAGTGCACTAATCAGCCGATTAATGACCTCCGTTGTTGCTGCCTTTTCGCCCATTTCTCTCAGAGCTTCACATGCACTCCTCCTGACAATATGATTATTGCCCCCAAGTGCACTAATTAGTTGATTAATGATCTCACTTGTTGCTGCCTTTTCACCCATCTTACCCAGAACCTCACACGCACTCCTCCTGACACTACTATCACTGTCCCCAAGTGCACTAATAAGTCGATTAATCACCTCAGTTGTTGCTGCCTTTTCATCCATATTACCCAGAACTTTACATGCCTTCTTTCTGACACTACTATCACTGTCCTTAAGTGCACTAATCAGGCGATTAATGACCTCACTTGTTACTGCCTGGTTACCGATGTTAACAAGTGATATTTCAGCGTTGTGCGAAATTTGATAATCTTTACTTGGAAGAAGATGGATAAGTAATTGTATGAACATTGGATCGGGAGTTGTGATTTGTAAATGCGTGATAAATGAAGTGATGTTAAGTTTCGTGTGAAGATTGCCTGCTTTTAGGAACTGAATAAGGAAATTTTGTATGGCCGACTCGTTTGGTAGTGCGCTGCATATTTGAATAGTTGCATTTAAGTTTCCTTGTAAGGTTGGGTTTCCGGTGGATAAGATACATTTGATCCAACGGATGATGTATCTTATTATCTCATCACACCTATGTATAAGACGGCTGCAGTTTGCCTCGTCGATGCATGAAGTGAGAATTTGTAGATGTCGAAAACCAACCAGATCGCGTGGTTCTCCGAGAATAATGTCCCAGAATTTATTGATCTGTTCTTCGTCATTCGCTTGAAGGAGGAGTCCTGAGAGAAAAGTAAATATTAAGGTGAAACGCTTGTCGTATTTATGGGTTTTGATAAAGTCGATAACATTTTGGCTTTGGGAAACATTAAGAGCATGAAGAAGATATCGCGCAGCAAAATGTTCCTGAAAACTGAGATGAACGAAATAGTGTTGTTTCTCCACTTCAACGTTGGTGCCAATAGGTCCGTGATTTAATGACTTTAGAAAGCCGATGTTGAGTAGATTCGGATGAGTTTCAAGTGAAGAGCGAGTATCTTCCAAAACTTTCTGTAGAAGCTCTGGGCGAATTATTATTGAGTTTTCTACCATGGCTTCGAATGCCAGTGCTTCGAGAAAAGTAAGCTCCTGCTTACATTTACCATACACTTCTTTCTTAGTCATTTGAATCGAACCGTTTCGACGCGCTAAGTATCGTCTACATAACCGTTCAATCATTTTATCATAGAGTATAGTGATTGTCAGAGTTTCATTTTCTGACCAATCTGTCTCAGTCCAAACACTACAGATAAGTTCCAAGTTCACTGGAATATGTGCAATGCCCCACACTCGTGGATTCTTTTTCAGAAAGTTTAGGCATTTTTGATATTCCAAAGATGAATTGGATACATTTTGTTGAATTTGATCAAAGAAACGCTGTACATACGTCGGGATGTTCATATCTGTGAAGCCTGTAATTTCCATTTGCACAGCATACGACAGAGTATTGAAGTATGGACGTGATGTCATGATGTGATGAGGAGTGTTGAGTAGTTGGTTGAATAAATGCTGTAGATGTTGTGGTACATTCTGGACTATTTCATCATAACCGTCCAAAAGCCACAAAACTTGTTCCTTATTCAGTTGCTTTCTTAAGAGTTCCTTGTCGTTCGTAGAGAGATTATTTGAGAAATATTCCGTGTTCACCAGATCCACTAATGAATAATTTTGCCCGGAAACTAGCGAAGGATAGCGAGTCTCTAATAATGAACGTAACGGAAAAAGAACAAGCAAGTCATATTCTGTCCAAAGAGCACCTGTTGCCCATTGGTGAGCAACATATCGACAAAATGTGCTCTTACCGATTCCAGCTCGACCAAACACGAGTATTTTCCTCAATTGGTCCTTGCATTCTTTAAAAATATCTTTCATATCTATTGATTTTTTGGTGCCATAGATATCTTCAAAAGTACCAATGATCGTTTCATTGTGCTTAGCATCACGAAGTTTCTTTTCTTTTTCTTGTTGCTCCTTGGTTTCGACGATTGACAAGTTAATATAACTTTCTTCGATTGGAAACGATATGGCTGAATTCATCAATCGTTCGATACGATTGTTTCTTTTATAATGTTGTTTAATCAATTCAAATAGATAGCTCGGTTCATCTATTGATTTTAGTGTTAGGTACTGTGACGTAGGAGGCTGCTCTCTTATTCTAGTGATTAATTCTATCGTTTTTGATTGAATGTTTGGCTCGAGTGTATCATAAAAATCTACATGTTCAAGCCCGTTAATAATCAGCTCCAACCAACCAGAAGGTTCCCAAGTCTTTGCATCACCAAGTATACATGGAATAATTCTTTTGTTTCGCTTTCGGGCATATTGCAGTTCGAGTTTGCAGTTCCCAGATTTATCATACTCTGGCGTGATGAAGCAACAGATGACTGCCGCATTTTCTACTCCGTTGGCAAGACTACACAAAAGAACGGCTCATGTAAATTATAGCAAAAAAAAAGTAACCAATTTCATAGACATACCTTTCATACATATCTTCTTTCATATCACCCTTTCCGTCGAGCCAAACTGAAATATTTTCTTCTCTAAGAGTTTGGCCAATTTTTGACACAACATCTCGACTATTCCAATTATAAGACAGCATGACATGTTTCCCTGGTGGAATCATAGAACTAAAAGATGTGAATCAGATATTAATTAATATGAAGAGGATAAAATAAATAGGAACTTAAAAAGCCACTTTTGTGGATGAAACGTCGCATATAAAACTCGCCTTGTGTAAAACTGAATCAAAAAAGGTAAAAAGTCTATGCGTTCACAAAGTCGCATCGAACTCCTGTAAAACACTATTTCAACACCTTCTCGCTCTTTACGGCTTATATATATGAGTATAAGTAATTTTAACATAGAACTGAAGTCTTGTTTTCACGTATCTATCAAAGATAATACAGAAAATTGATAACAATCAGTGTTGTTGAGCGTTGACTACGGTCTTTTTGCACGCGTGGAAAAGCTATTTTTCCTGCTTTCCGACTAATGCATCTGTATGTAACTATCGCAATGTTTTGCACTGATCAGGATTGGCAATGGTTAAAAAAAACGCATAACTCCACTATTGTGAGATACCATCTAGTTCTAGGTCACATCTAAACGCGAACGTCATTCCAATCACACTTGCATTCTCAAATGAATGCATGAGATTTCTTATTTTCAAGAAAAAATTCTTAAGATCAAGCAATCATCTAGGCTGCGAACAACCGAAAATATTTTATGACTTTTCCATATAGCAGTCTTGACGATTGATGTCAGACTTTTGATGATGTGTCTTTAACGTTTTCTACGTTTTTGGACTACTTTATTTTATAAGTACTATATTAAAATATCGCTTGCCAGATATGTATTGAAATGAAATGAATAAAGCAGTTATGTTTTACACTACAAACTTCGATTTCAGTCAGCTTTCTTTTCTAATTATGATGTTTTCAAATAGATAACTCTAACATAATTTTTTTGGTAAGGACTAAGTACTTTTGGAAATTATTTTTAGTAAGAGACCAATAGGTCAATATAATCTACTACTTTTCAACAGAGTGCACACTTTGAGAATAGATCGCAATAAACTCTGATACCATTACAGTGAGAAATTTGAAAGAGTTTCTTGGCTCTTTTCCGCAACTACATAGTAGCTTTTATAGTATTATTAATAGTTGACACGGTAGCATTTTTCTGTTAAATCATGAAGCTAATAAATGAACATCAATGGTATCCTACTCGATTTATAATGGATTAATATTCCATGCTCTAAACAGAGAAATGTCATTGCTGTCATTGCTTCATAAATTTCTATTCATTTTCTGTGTAGTTATATTTAGAGCTTTCAGTGAATAAGTTTGTTGGCGGTGGGAGAAAAGAGTACTGTAAGAATCAACGGAGGCAATATTTTTTCGAGATACATTAGTCAATATTTCTAATAATTGCAATATGGAGCAAAAAAGCTAAGCAGTTTCTTGGTCTCGTGTGAGTACCTGAGAAATATTTAATTTGCTGTCAAAGACTCTAAGAGGCAGTGAGATAAGAGAACTAAAAGAGATTTTCTGCCCACAAAAATACTTTATGCGAAACAGACGATGTCGGTGAAAATTGGCAACTGACATATCTAGTTATGTCTTCTGTAAGAAAGGGAGTCACACAATCATATCGTCAGCTTTCAAAATGCAACTTGTTATGCACAATTTTTTGTCATAATCTATTTAATGAGCTCAGTGGACTAAAGAATAATAGCATATCTATTGTGCTCAGAAAAAGGGTTTTTCTTTCAAGTGACTGCTTTATCACTACCGTTATTTCTGAAAGTGATGCAATTGCCAAAAGATGTTTTCCAATAAGTAATACTTAAAGGAACACTTAAACAGTGAAACAAAATAACTTAAGACAGTGCTGAGAAAAACATATTGCGATTCACGCCATATGTTTGTGACTGCTCAATACATTCGAGACAAAAAATTTTATATAGTATATGTTACTTGCTCCTATGATGCATACAGTGTCCATTGAACAAGTCTCAATTTTTTTTCCCAACTAAATTCAAGTACGATCAAGTCCAACCATCGTCAAAATGTTTAGATTCTACTTACTACAGTTTGGTGTACCTCTAAACAAATTCCTAGGCTATAATGTTCAAAGAATTTAATTGCTAGATCATCAATTGCTTAGGTATCGTGGGGTCCTTCACAAAGACTTACCATTCGTTCAAATGCACAATGAAGAAACCATTAATATCGAATGATGTAGACTGGACGCGCAAGCAAGTGCCAGGCATAAGAACGATTTCTTCCTCCTCCTGATTTGCTGAGTACTTGGTAATATCTTTGCCATGAATCGTATTAATGCAAAAAAGGGTACCCTTTTCACCTGAAAAACACACCGCAGGATTGATTTGTGATGAACATGAATTCACACTCCACCAAGTGTGAACACGATTTGTATCGAATTCTGATCCAATAATGTCCCAAACACCTCGCCATACTGTAGTCGTACACGACGGTAATTTCTCAAGAGCCGTAATGAGCAATTTTAAGTAGTCAAGCCATGGTTCCCATGCTTGTGGGTTTTCAGCTCGAAGCGTCTCATTCAGTTTGCGATAAAATGGTGTTGTTACCATTGTGTAAAGATAAATGGCTGCCGATTCATTTATTGTTAGTTGAGTATTTTGTCTGCAGCATTGTTTAGCTTTATCAGCATCAGTCTTAACGCACGGAACGAATTCAACGATACTTTCTACGGCTTCCTCTAATGACATAATTGGCACACCTTTGTATCCGGATATTGGAGTGCGGTTGGTCTGTTGAAGCTCTGATAGATGACGATTCACAAAACGATCGATTCTTGTGAAGGGCATTTGCTGCGTCATCGGATGACGGATTTCCTATTATAAATAGAGTTAGCGAGATATTGCCTTAGCTATGCATCTACTGAGACACTATCATTTTTCGCATCTAGTATAAAACTATCAGCGATTTAAAGCTAGACTCATTAGATATCATGGCATTGTCCTTGAAATTAAGTTTAAATTCACTAATACTTAGAAATTTGTTTTGGTAGCATTAGAACTTCGAAAAAACTGTATAACCGTTTTATCCTACGGCTTTGGGAGCAAATCGTAACTTTCAAGTTATGAAAATGATAAATAAAGAGTCCACTCGAATCGGAAACATTTACTCGACCATTGAAATCTATTTCATTGTAACACCCAAAATGAGTGTACTTAATGTTTTACCATTACTTTTCGAACAATCAAACTGTCTCCGCTTGTGGGCATTTCAAACTATGTCATGTTATCTATGCTATATAACCTTACTCTTTCACTCAGTTTTGACATTTTTAACAAAATCTAACAGTTCAGATGCCATCCAAACTAGTGGTAGTCTGATGTTGTCTCAAGCATGACATGAAATCGCTCCACGATATACTTTATTGAGAATAGACCTTGTAAGGACAACTCTTCTAGCATATATAAATCAATGCAATATCCGAATCAAGTTTGCATAGAGTAGAATTTGCATAGAACAGAGTAAAGCCACCGACACATTAGAAGACCCCCCTATATTAGAAGACCCCCCTATATTAGAAGACCCCCCCCCCCCCATAATATAAGACCCCCTTGGATAAATGAAGCAAAAGANATCATCAGCACATAAGTAATTGAAGAACGTGTTTCTTTTGTATTTTTCATTGTACGGAAAACAAAAACAAATGGTATCAATAGAATGATCTCGTGCGATCACGACATCGGAAAATGTTTTTTTTTTCTCATAAGGAATAATCTTTACGTTATATAAGTAATTTATTAACAGACAAAAAGACAGTTTTATATTAGTGTTTTATCATAGATGAGTTCTCATTTTCCGAAGGAAACGAGAGTGAACCGAACTTAACGGCACTGCAGTGCCAAGACGATCCATGGCAGGGGGCCGAGTTCTAAAAATCCACTTGAAAGAGCCTGGCTCCAATTGGACCAGCGCCGGCTTTCAAACCGACGAGAACAGATACTACACTTTGATCTTAGCCCAAAAAGGCCGAGAAGCGATAACGCTTCACATTGAAATGAAGTTTCTACTGTAGTCTTGTGTATATACATGACATGACTGAGTATAATGAATGAGAAAAACATGAATGTGTAAAGACAAGATAAATGTCGTGCCTCACAGGTGACTAGAGTGAATTGCTTTTTACAAATTTACCAAGAGGTACATAATTAACTCTGATCACTTGCTAGTTGCCATGACGAAAACAAGCTGGTGCATGGCAAAACGTCAACCTGCCGGAGCAACTCCTTTAATGAATGAACGAAAAAGGCTTTGGATAACTCGCATATTCTAATTATTCATAGAATGAGTATGCATAAGAAACTGCAGTTTACCAGTTAAAAATGTCTTGTTTCTTACCCAATCATCTATATGAAAATAATAATATTTTATTTCATACCTCTATTTCTTTTCTTGAAATATCAAATGTATATTTTCACAGGTCAATGTGGTCAATTGGTTTCTACAACTTCATGAAGAGGTAAATGATCAAATTTTATCAGTATTTTGCGTCATTTTAAACGGATAAGCGGAGTATTTAATAAAAAAGATTTTTAAAGGGGGTCGTTTTGAACTAAAAGCTTTTAAATCACACGATATTCCTAGTCTTTCAAAGATTTCTTTCCTGCTCTCTTTTCTTTTCTTTTCGTCTTTTTTCGTTCTTTTACTTTATCTATCTTCTTGTCTTATTCTTATCTTCACTATTTCCTATCATGGTTTCATTTTCTTTAACCATCTTATTTTCTCGCCTTTGACTGATATTATAACATTTCATTACAAAAGAAAAGCAGAAGAAAAATAAAAAGAATTTAGTCATATATCATGGTACATCTCTAACTATTGCAAAGATCCGTGGCGTTAATATTGATTAATTGTGATGATCGAATTGATCGTGGTGCAATTATATTCGCCATTGGTAAAATTGTCTCTGTTTCTGATTTACAGTCATTTGATAACTTAAGTGACTAGCAGAAATGGTTTATTATTTTTACAGCACATCGTCTAAAGAACAGTTCTTAAACTTAGATCATTTGAAGATTAATAATCAAAACTTTACAGTTCACAAGCCTTATTGGGAGATGAAACCTATACGTTTACTTAATATTCCAGCATCGATTTCTGGTGAACATATAGATGAAATAGTTTCTAAATGGGGAGACACTGTTATCAGCATTGAATATGAAACATAGCCTCGTTCATTTTCAAATATTAAAACTTTTGTTCGTCGTGTAGTTATACGTTTTGCTACCCTTAATACTGAACAAAAAGGTCCGACATTAATGAAAATCTTCGGTATGACTATTTCAACATTACTTGAAGGCCACTTGAAGATATGCTATAGATGCAAAGGGAATGGGCACATAAAATTGGAATACGTTGTACCGAAATGCCAAAATTGTGGTGAATTAAGTCATGATAATCCTGAGTGTAATATAGGCAACGAACATATGCTAGTATTACAGGTACATTAGTCAAACCCATAATATCAATAACATCCTTAATCGCTACTCAAGCAACTGAACCGTCATCTGAGCATTCTACAACACAACATGGAACAAAAACGAATCTGTCTTAAAGGTATAAACAGTCCGGTCACATCTTGAAAGATTGTATCTATGATCATCATGGAGTGATTCAAGTTTCGACACCTATACCAAATGCTGAGCCTAATTCAACAAGCTTAACATCTACTGTTATGGAAGATCATTTCCAATTTGAAGATTTCGACAATCCGCAACTGTTGGCTACCAATAATCGTGATCAACAGATAACAATTGTCGCAGCTAATGATAAAATTAAACGTACTAAAAATGAACAGCAAGTTATTAAGGAAAATAATTTACGTGAACCAAATCAACAAAAATCAATTGAACAAACCCACTTAGACATTATACCTAGTGGGAACGATCTACTGACAATTACCTTTGGACCAGTTAATATGTTAGATGCAGAATCATATAAAGTATATAAAGAAGGGCATAATGGTTTAACACGACCATTGAATGATGAGAATTATATAGTAGTTAAGGATTCAAAAAAACAACACTCAGATTCCCCTCGCTATGAAGAGTAGAGAGAGGAAAGACGGTTAAATCTAATTAGATAAATTCACCAATAATTAATAAAAAAAACAATAAAAATTTAAAGTAAAAATACTTATAAACTAGAATAAAAAAAAGTACAAACACATAAATATCGTAAATATATAAAAAAAATATAAATAGAAAAACTTAGTTCATTAGTTACATCATAATGCAAACTATTCTTTCATATAATATTAGAGGTATTTCAGCCAGTGGTAAACATGCATTATTATAAACATCATTGAATGAAACACAACATGATGTAGTACTGTTACAAGAATTACACATGACTAAATTTAAACATTTTCAAGCTTTTAAACAAGACTTTTCAGAATATTAGATTACATGTAGTTTAGGCACATGGGCAGTCGGTGGTACACTTATTATGATCAAGACAAAGCATGAAGTACTTCATGTTGGCACTGATCCAATAAATCGATTTGCCTTTATTAAAACTACATATAACAATATTCCTATTGTTATTGTTATTGTTAATGTATACGCACCCGCACAAATTACTGAACGGTGTACCTTTTTTTAAAGAATTAAGATTATATATTCCATCAACCGAATGGGTCATGATCGGAGATGATTTTAATTGCACACCAAATGGCGAACATGATCGAAATCATTATGATATTCATAGCGATACTCAATCGTATCCAATACTTTTACGTGAAGTAATTAACCCATTATTATTGACTGAGCTATTCAGATCCAAATATTCACGCAAAGTTATTTATTCATATCATAGTGATTCAAGAAATACTCACAATTGTATTGATTTCTTTTTTGGATCAAAAATTATACAACAAAAATACCCACCAAATATATTATATACCTGTTGGGTTATCTGACCCTGATTCTCTTACAGTTAAATTAAATATTCCATCAAAGAATGCTTATGAAACTTATCGATGGATTTTTAACCCGAAAGTGATTACAAGAAATACATTTATGGAAAAATTTCTGGCAGAATGAAATGTTTTTCTCAAGTCAGCGGATTTTAATTCAACTGTTTAGTGGAACGACTTTAGAACAAGTTTCATTTTTCTTCTTCAAGAAGAACAGAAATATCTTATTTCTGAAAGAAGGTATGAATTGAGACAATTACAGAATGAATACAAATCTCGAGCCACTAATCCAAATGCCGATGATCTTATTCAATTAGAAATTATACGGAAAAGCATATGAAGTCTTTTAGAAGAGAAAATTAATATTAATTTGCCACATCATCAGGAACACAATATAAAATCTCTTGGCATTTTAGCTAAAGCACATTTTACTTACTACAAATTCAATCAAAATAGAATACAATTTCTTGATCATCCGACAAAAGGTCGTGTTAAAACTGACTTGGAAATGCTTGAACTTGCAACTGACTTTTACAAAGATTTATATGATGTTAAAACTGTCGATACAACTATATGGAATGAATTATTTACAGGTCTTCCAACATTAAATCCAATAGATATGATATGCCTCGAACATGATATTGGTTATGCAAAATGTCATAATACTTTAAAAATAATGCCTTTAGGTCGTGTTCCTGGTGAAGATGGAATAACAATCGAAGTATGGAGGTATTTATTTCCAATTATAGGTGAATATTATGTTCGAATGATTAATGTCGCAAAATGTAATGGTCATTTCCATGATGGTTTTCTAAATGCAATGCTGACTTTCTTAAAACAGGAAGGGAATAATAATGGCTCAATGAAAGGTTTTAGATCCCTATCACTAATGCATATAGATTATAAAATATTATCCAAAGTATTAAATGTACATCTAAAAAAGTTTTGAATCGCATCATATACTATGATCAAACGTGTGGAATTCCTGGACGAACGATCCACGACAATATTCATCTCATTCGATCAATCATTGATTATCATTCTCGTGACGGGATCCCATTAGTATTATTCAATAGGACCAAGAAAAAGCATTTGGTCGAGTCAATCATGATTATCTTTTCGAAGCTCTCAAACAATTCGGTTTTGGTAAAAATTTCAATGATGGGATTAAATCATTATACATCCATGCCACCGTTAAAATCAAACTTAATAATTGTTTTAGTAACAAAATCTTATTTCAATCTGGAATTCGACAAAGATATTCATTTTTAGAAGATCTTTATGTAATTTGTTTGACGTCATTGTTACACAATATAAGCAGAAATGCTCGTATACCTGGTGTCTTGCCTTCGGGAAGGGTGTGGGTGTCAAAAAAGAACATAATATACATCCACACCCGCACCTACCCACACCCCAAATGACAAATGTACTTGATTTATATAACTTTTGTGAACCAAAAATTGATAACATGACACCAAAAAAAAAGAGCATACAAGAATTATGTTCTTTGATATTTAAGAAACAAAAAGCAGGTGGCATGTTTATGGAGAGAATATTTGTGTCCACCATGTACAAAAAAAACGACTGTTATTATAACAGTCCATATTTCTTTATTCGTATAGAAATACAGAAAGAATAAAGCAGAAAAAAAAAGAAGAATATATCTCGAATAAAAATGCAAAAACGGGAAAGATGGAATGCTGAGTTATATTTCTTTTGCTTCACTCTATCGGTAAGTCATAGAATATGTTCTGGACGTGATTCCTTGACTGATGCATCCGATACGGTCAAATTTCAATAATTCCTGAATACACTGTGTAAAGATGTTTTTGTGGAATCGAATGTTTTATATATATTCACAAAGTAAAAACCCCTGATCATGTATATAGAAAATCTTATACTGGTCATGTTAGGAAAATGAATAGACAATACTTTTCACCACTTTATTGTAACAAATCTTTGTGATTATCGATCAAAGAGATGACAATAGGTAATGATACTGTGCAAACATCTTTCCAATTGATGCAGTTGTCAAACGACCTGTACAAATGTGTCAATATCGATTGTCAAAATCATGCAGTGAATTATTCACATCAACGAGTGAAGAGTGAACTTTTTCTTTCCATTTAAATACAATATGTTTCTAGGCAGAAATGACTAATTTAAGTCATTTTTCTCACTTCAGAATCATGAAAATCTTGATTCTGTCGACAAAGTCATCTTAAAATCGGAACATTTGAAAGCAGAATACTTCAGAAATTAAATAAACTCGTATGAATAATTAACTTGTAAGTTATATTGAAATATTTCGAAAATCATAGAAAATAGTGATAGTATATGTGGAACTGTAGCCATCTTTCTGTATTATTCACCGATGAAAAGTCAATTAAATAAGAATGAATAATCATCAGAAGATTATTCTCATAGGCAAAGATCACCATGTATCTCTTCGATTTTTCCCTTAATTGTATAGTTTCGTCAATCCATGTATTTTATTCTTAGACATGAAATGATTAAGTGTTCAAACTGTTGCAAGAGACAATTATATGAAGAATTGTTTTCTTTTCTTTTAATTCCTATGCGAATGTATACAGTTTTTTTCTGTGGCAGTCTATTGATCTACAAAAGTTGTTGTTTGATAAGTTCAATATAGAACTGTATGATAAAATGAACTACAGATAGAAACACAAGGCTATCATTGAACAATCTTCCAAGAAAGAAAACTCTTTAAAAGAGAGGTATATAATTATCTTGATGTCAGATTAGAAGATAGACCTTTCTGTGACACTCAGCCTTCTTTCTATTTGATTATTTAATATATTTCTTTTTTTTTTATTCACAGGATGTACGGACTAAGCAAGAGAAGATATTGATAAAAAAAGAAAACAGTAACACCGACTACACATATGGTTCTCAGAAAATAATCTTCATAAAAGATGCAGAACAAGTGTGAGATAATTTAAAAATCTCGCTTCTAATTCTTTTCAATGCAGTCTCCAATTCAGTCTTTTCTGATATCAGACTAGGATAAATGACTAGTTGGACATATATAATTATGGTGGAAAATTAGCAACATTTCTGTGGATCTTCGATATCAACTACTTTTGTTTAAAGAAGTATATCTATGGTGCCACGGTTTATACTTAACAGTGCTGTTCTAGAATATTTTCAGTCGAAATAAAACGACTTCTTTTTATCATTCTTAACCTACTGTCTTTTTAAAAGCTTTTACATTATCTAGTTGCATTGCATTTAGGATTGTGTGAAAGTTGTGTCTACGAGCCGAAAAGCCGAAAATTAAATTAATACTTCAAAATGGTCGTTTACTGAGGTCTCGAATCCTCTAATCACTAATATAAAAATGCTAAAAAAGTCTAGATATTGTGGAAAGATTTTACGATAACGTGATGTTTCATAACCTAAGGAGAAAACGAAACACAATTGGATTAGTCTTCAAGGAAAGATTTCGCATGCCTGACTTGTGTACAAAATAAAGAGCCTATTAATGCCATATAGGAGTTGGGGGTGTGAGTGTCGATATTTCAGAGCTGGGCAAAATACTCGAAGTACTCGTACTCGTACTCGAACAAGTCCGTACTTGTCCAGCTCTGCGATATTTATTTATTCATATGCACCTACACCCACACTCACATTCACGTCGATACGGACACAACCACACAGCCACATCCCGGTTTATACTGCCAGTATAAGCTAGTATAGCCCGTTTGTTAGTAAGAAACGGTTAGCGATTTGAATTAGTGAAACCTTAACTGCTAAAGCGAATATGGTTAATCACATCGGCAATCACCTACTCTTGTACCTCATAAACGTAGGATAAGCATTTGCACCGCCTCCTTCGATTGTTTCTAGTGCACTGAACGCTCTGGAACTGAAGTGGAGTCATAATAGTTTGATGTAGTTTTTTATGCTCTATTCAAATATATTATTGAATTGATACGATGTCGTTACACTTTTATTTCGAAAGAAAAAGGCTTGCTTCTCATGTTTCAAAAGAAAATACTGAAAGATTTTGACTAAAATAGTCGAACTAAAGTTGAGTCGTATACAGCTTACAAAAACAACAGTTCCAGACCGAGCAAAAACTATTTGTCTTTTCATGTTTTATGGGTCTCACTCGCAATCTATTTCAACTTTGTCGAAATGATGCATGATATATGTATAATTTCAACAAAGATAATCCAAGTGTCGTTGCATTCTGCTACTATTTCTATTGTAGGAAGAGCGAGATGAGAACAGCAACTCATCGGTAATTATTTCGCGAGGATTCATCTACCCATTTTCTTTGTTTGAAGATATGTCAAGTTGTCCCAGTTGTTCTAATGTCCATGTTCTTAAAGGACTCTCTGTTCTCGATGTACATTCGATAATGAACTCATAGAGAGGGATATCGAAGCCGAGTTTCTCTTGAATGCCGTTACTGTTCAGATTTCGTCATTCAAACGAGACAGGATGTCAATGGCATGAATGCGACGAAAACAGCTTTAAATCGTTTTCTGTATAATGTAGAAGGTCTTCTTAGCTAGGCGATCTTTTTGGGTTGTTGAAGCAAGTGTTATTAAGCGTTTGAGAAGCTTCTGAAGATCGAAGTCTGAATAAAACAAGAATTATAAGAATATGTATCGAAAAATAGTGTAAGGACACACGATGGACGTACCTTTGAATGGGACTTTGGCTTTCAATTCTTTCGGCTCAAGATGCTTGGCAGAAGTGAAAAGAGTTCAATAGAGTTTGGCTTCATTATTTCTTCGATTTTTTTTCACAAGTGAATTTGTGATCGAACTCTGCAGTCCGTGCATAATTCCATCGCATCCTCATGTAAAAAAATGATCGGAAAAATCAGATTTTCATCGATTTTTTCTGAATAATAATCGATTAAAATGGCACGATTTTAATTTAGATTTTAACTAGAACTTCTTGTTGTTTAATAAATTTTAATCGATTTTAATCGATTATTTGGTTTTTAATTGCTTTTAATCTAAGATATCGGCATTATGGCTTATACGAGTGAGCGTGAATCGATGTCGTATATAGGAATATGTCCAGGGTAGGGCTAGTACTGCACTTACCATTTGTCAATGCAAGGAGTGAGAAAAAATAATAAAAAATTCAAGTTTCTAAGTGAAACCTGGAGAAAAACGCGTTTTTAGTTACAGCAATTAAAATCGATTAACAGTCGAATAATACAGGGTGTCGCATAACCTTTGCGCCCTCTTCTCTAGGATCTAAAGAATAGATAATATCACAAAGTATTTATACCAGATTAAAGTTCATCAAAAAACGCATCTAGGAGTGCAATTAGAATAAATGTTGGCTACGAAATTATTAAAATATCTTTCATAACATATTAAAATGTCATGGATTACACAATATAGAGTCGACCAAAGAAGTATTTCGTCTCTCTTTCAACGAATAAGTTACTTGTTGATAGATTTAGTTTACTTCGGCTTGAAGTGATATTATATGTGCATTCTGTTAGAGCGGAAGGTCACCTACTTGATGTGATTCTCGTTTGCTTTTCTTATGTTCGACTGTAACGAAGCACATGCGCGAGCTGGGTAACATGTTTATTCTTAAGCGAAGAGGGCTCACTACTCATGACTAACAATTAAGGGGAAAAATACAGAGAAAAAACTACGCGTACATATATGCACGGACAGATAAGAGAAGAATGAATAAACATCGGCACTATTTCAAGTTTTCTTACTTCTTTCTTTTTTTATGTGCCTGTTGCTCGTTTAACGAACTGTTCTGATCGCGTTAGAAGTTGTATTAAATATTCATTAAATTGAGGCAAGCCTGTGACGCATCAATTTAGCGAATCAAAATGGCCGGCCTTCTTAATGAATAAGAAGAGCAACGATTTCTGGCAAGAATTCGTTGTATCACATATCGTGAGGCACGCAATGACATGATTGCAAGAACAGGAGA